GGGGGGGCCAGCCGCTACCTGCTGGAGCTGGAGCTGCTGGAGCAGGGAGAGCGGCTCGTCCGCTTCTCCGAGTACGTCTTTGCGCGGGGCTGGCAGGGCGTTGGTGGCGATGAGGAGGAGGAAAGGAAGATGAGGAACCTGGCATGGGGTCGCCGGCGGCGTCTGATGGCTGTGGCAAATGAGCCAGAGCTGTGCTGGCCCCAGGGCTTTTACTGGAACCACCGTGCCGTGGTTCACTTCGTGGTGCCAGGTAAGGAGGCCCTGCCTCCCCGGGACATCAAGGGGTGGCACGGTGGGTGGTTCCTGTGAGGGCAGACCTGAACAGTGGGTCTGGGCCAGCCCCAACCATCTTATTTAGGTGACTTCCAGTTTCTGTTCTGTCCAAGTTAAACTCCATCAGAAATATGACAGAGCCCAAACTCCCATGGCATGTAAGATCAAAGAAAACTCCTGTCGCACACTGGGAAAGAATCCACACTGATTCCTGGGCTTTTTAGTCCAGGTTTTCAGCCTGGGTCTATTTCAGCATCCCTGCAAGGTTAGTGGGGTTTGAGGGGAGGTGAGAAGCCTTGCCTGTTGAGAAGCCACACTATCTTTGAAATCTGTTTTGCTTTGATTCTCTCCCTTGTGCAATATAACCAGTGAAAAACCAGGCACGTTGGGTGCTGCAGTTCATCTCTGACATGGAAGAGTTGTTCCGAGTCACTAAGGATCTGTACTTCAATGTCATCATCACGGACTACAGCAGCGATGACATGGATGTAGAGAAGGCTCTGAAAAGATCTACCCTGCACAGGTGAGGGTACTGCTTGGTCACAAAATGCTCACATGCTTATGCCTGCAAACACAGCACATCTGCCAATTTCTCTGTATTGACCAGCCACAGCCTCGTGCAGCTGGAAACCCAAAGATAACATCCATCCAGACTTTGCACATATACACAAATACATTGTTGTTATAATGTGCATACATGTATACTGCATATAATAGTGTTATAAAACTGTGAGGCAATAACTATTGTAGTTATTCATCCAGATGCATCTCTTTTCTCCTGGCTTTTGTTCAAGTTTACAAGAGAGAAAAGAAAGTAAGTCTCACAGGGATGGGGCAGGGGGAGGACAGAGAGGTCAAGCAATTTGTAAGAAGTGGGACTGAGAGCGTGGAGACATCTGGGGACTCCACTTGCTGGAATAACTGTCTGGCTTACTCTAGTCTGATCTGAACCAGCCTTGGCCGGTCATTTCCTTTACATGCCAGGGATTCCCAGTAACAGATCTAGTCCTAGGATGGAGCTGGACTAGAGCTGAAAAGACTTTTGCTAGGATCTACCCTATGCTTGCTGCACAAGGGGGAGTGCTGGGACCTGGAGCAGCGCTGAGCTTGTGCATTCACACAGCAAAGGCTTTCCTCTTCCATGAGAGAGTGCATGGGGGTGAGGGCAGCTCCACAGCGTGAAACCTGTGGTGTACCATTGCTCGCGGTGCTTTCTGTGCTTGCCAGCATTCACGCACTTGAACTTCCCTTTCCCATCTGACCCCCAGCTATCGGTACTTGAAGCTGACAGGGAATTTCGAGCGTTCTGCTGGGCTGCAGGCGGGGATAGACCTTGTGACGGTAAGCCTGGGGGGCCTTGGGGTGGACAGGGAAGTTTCTAGTATGTGACTGGTGCTACCTCTGCCTTTCATACTGATCATGCTGGTTTTTAGGGAAGTGAATAGCCTAGCAGACCAGATCAAATGTAGATGTGTTTCCTGTCTCTCCAGAGCAAGGGTCTCACCCTTTATTCTGAGGAACCTATGGTCCATTAGGTTCTTGGTCCACCTGCTGGGACTATCAGACAGGATGGAAGTCAGCAGTAGCAGCTTTGTGATACTGGCTTTGTCAGATCATAGCCACAGTATTTCACACCCATCGCTGAATAGCCACTCAGTGGCCATTTTGCCAGCCCCTAGGATCTTGAGTTTCTGATGTAGCAATGCATGGCGCTCTAATTCACTCCCATATCTCTGTCTTCCTGCCCCTCAAGAAAGACTTACTTAAAGTCAACCTATTTTTTTCCCAACCGGTGTGGTTGGTTCCAGGACCCCCACAGCATCATTTTCCTGTGCGACCTCCACATTCACTTCCCAGCTGGAATCATTGATTCAATCCGGAAGCACTGCGTGGAAGGCAAGATGGCCTTTGCACCCATGGTCATGAGGCTGCACTGCGGCATGTCTCCACAGTGGCCTGACGGTAAGAGGGAGTAGAGCCTCTTTGGCTCAGACCTTGGGTCATGGGGAAAGAAGGGAGGATGCCTGCCACCTCCATATTTGTTCCTCTGGTGTTACAAAGGTCTGGAGCTTAAGGTACTTCCAGAGCCACTAGGTGAGAGTGCATTAGACATAGGATGGGGTTTAACAGTGTCAGGTACCTGGAATTTGAGATCAAAGAGCCAGCAGAGCCCTTTATATGATGTTACTCTTGGTCATCTCCTAGGGCTCTCTATGGATTTGAGGACCTTGGAAAACCCTCTCTCTGTTTCTCCCTTTTCTTAGGGAGCATAGCCTGTCCTGAGGAGAGCTGTTAGCCTGGGTGTGAGGGAAACCAACCCAAGTCAGGGGGAGGAAAGTGTCACAGATCATCTGAGCGTAGGACTTCCTTTAGACAGAGGTGGCCATCCTGAGCTGTCCAGGCACAGGGACGACCCTTTGAAGCTGGGACAGTCCAGGTATATTAGGTACTATGCTGACAGACAGGAGATGTGAGAGGCTCTGCTAACAAATTCGTAGGACAGCCCATGCTGTCTGTCCGCCAGCCTTTCTCACTGCCCAAGGGTTTAATACGGCTGGCTCTGCCTTGGTGCTGAGTTGACTCTCTGGTGTCAACATCGTGCTGAAAGTAGCTTGAGTCTCACTCTAGCAGCCCTGCTGGAGTCATCAATGGTTCAAAGCACCAACATACCTGTGCCTCTTTTGTGCTGTCCTCAGGCTACTGGGAGGTGAATGGGTTTGGTCTCCTGGGCATATACAAGTCTGACCTGGACAAGATCGGAGGCATGAACACGAAAGAGTTTCGGGACCGCTGGGGAGGAGAGGACTGGGAACTCCTGGACAGGTAGGCACCCATTGCCATCATTCATGCATTCGGGAGCGGAGAGTCATTAGATCCTGGAGGACCAATGACCAGGGGAGTGAGGATCTGAGGAGACTGAGGCGACTAATACCACCATAAGCTTGGTCAGTGAGGGAGAGTCTTTGAGCATGTCCTGACCTCAAACCTAGTAGGTGGGTGGACCCAAAATACACTGCCACAACCACTGATAAGAGAGGAGCCATTTCCTGGTGCCTTCCAGCCACACTGCTGGTTGGCCACAGGCAGATCAGGCGCTGTTGATCGTGAAGACTTTGTCCTCTTCAAGTGGTGCAGTGCACAGTAGGTCCAGTTTGGGTCCCTCAGACTTCCGTACTACATATAGCAATTGCCCAGAAGAGCAACTGTCAGAGAGACATTTAAAGATTAAGAAGTACAGTTAAACAATTTCTGATGAGATTATGATAAGGGATCTCTGCTGTACAAATCCTAGACCTCTGTGTTTGTAGTTCTAGGTTTTGGGGCCTGTCCTGTCTTTTCTGTCAAATGACTGCAGAAAAGACTAGCATCCTGAGCAATCCCGTGTGGCCAGCTGTCCTTCCTCCTAACCTGGCATGCACAGGCCACTCGTGACCAGTCCTGCTTTCAAGGGTGCATAAACACTCAGCAAGTGTTATTAGATGCCTGCTTATGGATGTGAGATACCCCATAGCTATTCTGGATTCTTCGATTTGATTGCAGTCTCTTGACAACAGCACAGCTTAAAAGATTTCCTGGGGCTGAGCCCACCACTATCTTTGTGATCAAGTTTTCCCTAAGTCTACTTTTCTCTTTTCTGCCAGGATCTTGCAGGCTGGGCTGGAAGTGGAGCGTCTCTCCCTGAGAAACTTCTTCCACTGGTTTCACTCGAAGCGGGGCATGTGGAACCGGCGCCAGCTGAAGACGCTCTAGCCTTCAACCCCAAAGCTGCTTGGCAGCACCGTCCACCATCTCGTCTCAACATGCACTTTATCAAGGCACACAGCCAAGCCCACAAACTCTTCCTCTGCCTCCAGAGCCCTCTGATGGGATGGCATAGCTGAGGAAGGGACGGTCAGGCTAGGGGAGCAGAGCTTCTCTTGTGAGCCATTTTATCCAAGACGTGATCTGTGTCTTGCTGGGAAGGCGTGCAGGGGAGATGTCAACAAGTGAAGGACTCGTATTTCCTGCCATGCAGTCTGGTGGAGGGTACAGTGGGAGAGGTGCCATATTTCCCGTTGAGTCTTGCATGGTGCAAACCAAACAAACACAAATCCCACCTAAGCCCAGAATGGTTTATTTAGAAAGAGAAAGCTTCTCTTTCAGTACTTGAATGAAAAAAAAAAAAGAAAAAAAAAACATCCTCCCCATTTCCCCTCCTTCCCCATCTCTCCGGTATCCGTGCTTTTGGGCAGGGGACCAAAGTAAGTTCTCTGAACTGTACTGTGTCCACATGCCCATGTGCTGACCCAAGGAAATCTGGGTGTGGAGGAGCTGATAAGCACTTTAGGCTGCTGGTGCTTAGATGTTTCTCTGTGCTTTTCACTTTAGTCGTTATGAAAAACTCTGCTCCTATTCAGCAAATTACGGGCCATGAGTGGAGATGCAGGTACACTTCCCTTATGAGAGCCATGTTTGCCTGCAGCTGGGCAAGGTGGCAGGGGTTGATGTTACGACTCCACCTAAATTATTGATCCACTGCCTGAGGATAGTGGAGGGGTTATACAGAGGAGCTAGGAGGGCATCTCAGGAGGAACTTTGCAGCCTTATCTGACAGACATGTATGTTTGTCCTAACGATATCAGGGAAACCCTAGCAGGGAAGAAGTGGCAATATTTTATTAGTTGAAATATTGTGATTTTGTCAGAAAAAGAGGAGACAGAGTATTCTGCTCTCTAAATCCTGTACATTTGTGCAGCATCTAAAGGTTAATTTAATAAGTTATGGCCTCACAGTTATGTCTTGTCATAGTTTGACTTTTATATAAAGAGCAGGCTTCTTGATTGAAGAACCAGCACAGCTGTTGGTGCTTCATCTCTGGAACAGCCCTGGGAGCTCTGGCCCAGTACAGAGGCGGTGGCCTCAGGCCTTGGCACGTGCACTGAACAGCGAGGACAGAAGAGGGTAGAGTGAATAAAAGGATGCTCAGACCCATGCTGGCAGTGATTCAAGAGCTGTGGAAAGAGCCCCTGTCCACAGCTGGCCTGATGCTACAGGGAATTCTCATCCCCTAAAACTCCTGTTAATGTAAGGCAAGATTTTTTACTCGTGTAACCATTTTACAAGACTATAGAAACCCAGAAATCCCAACACACTCAGTGCTCTACACTGGAGCTTTGGTGTCCCCATACTGTGCCGAAAAGGCTGCTACTGGTCTCAAGCTTGAGGTGGGGGGGGCATGACATAGAATGCTGCTCATGGCACCCAGCTCTGTGGGGAGTTGTTGAGAAGTGAGTGATGGAGGTATGCAGGATACAAGCAATGCTGACATGGTACTAGAGTTGTTTGCTTTTTACCTGATGGAGTGGATGCCAATTCAGAATAGGTGTTCATTTATTATTAATTCCGTGGCGCTTGACAAGTCCATCAAGTTCCACTATTGCAGTCGAAAACTGAACATGCAAGTTCTGGCACGTGAGATAGAAATCTTGTCAAATCATCTGCTTGCCTCAGTCCAGGTTTTGTGACTGATGGAGTCATAAAAAGTCAATCAGATTTCAGAAAGGTTTGCTGTGCAGTGTGCAGCTATGGTGAGAGGTACACGAGAGACGGCTGTGTCTCAGTCCACAGGGCCTTTGTCAGAATGCAGACTGAATATTTTAGAAGGGGCAGCCTTAACTTTCTGCCCAAGCCAGAGTAGTCTTTTTATTGAGGGAAAGTATTTTCCCCATATAGAGACTAAGAAATGGAACACTGCCATTGGGGTGAGAGGGAAGAGGCTGACAACAGTCAATGCTATTATTTTTTTTTAGTGTATTACAGGAGTTTAGGAGGCCAAAGCCTTGTGATGCAATGTTGCAATAAGTCATGTTTCTGCCTGGAATGTGCAGTGTCAGTTGTGCTCTCGGTGCGTGTTGGAGCCTGTCCTTCACTCAAACACAGGCACAACCCTGCAAGTGTGCAGGTGAGGTGCTCTTCAGGCTCTGGGACTGTGCCTCTGCAGCCTGTCTGGGCTGGCTCTGTCACGCAATCCTTGTGGAATGGGGAGAGGCTGGTAGGGAGGGCGAGCACCGGGACGTGGCGAGGTGTTAGCAGGACCCAGCCATTTGGCCCCATCAAGCAGAGAACGGCCCATTTTGCAGATGGAGAGCTGATGGATTCAGTGGCGGCCTTTATGTCACGCACAGGGAGGAAGGGTTATTTGTACTGTGTGCTTTCACATCTGGCTTAGATGTGGTCTGCAGCACCCAAAGTTAGCAGCTGGCGTTCATCTGCAGACACGGGAAAGAATTAGTGCACCCAGAAGGTAACTCTCTTGGCTTAAATGATATGAGTAACCCCTCTTCCTCACCAGAGAGGACAGCCAGCAAAGAGTGGACAGGAAAGTAGGGTGCAGCCCTCATTCCAGCACTGCCAGCAGAATTTGAGGATTTCACCCCCATGCTTTAGCTGTGACTGTGCTCCTTCCTTCACACCTTGTAACCCAGGCCAGTGGCAAGCAGAACTGTTTAACTCATGAGGTCTCCTTGGTGGACATCTAAGGAGTTAGTGGGCTTCAGTCCAGTTTCCCGATGGCTGGTGTCACCATAGTCAAAGCTGCCATCACAAATGTTCTTCCCTTTCTAGCACAGTGGGGATTTTTAGTTTGTATTTAAGCATTGCAGTAGTAAACGTGATTAATGCTAATTGGCGCTGGTTGGCAGCCTCCATGGAGGAGCTTGGAGAGAGCCCATGAGGGCAAAAGCTGTCTTCGAGCCCACATACTCAGATGCCGCTGCGGGTTGTAGGGAGAGAAGGGGCTACACGCTCCCTGGCTGCCAGCCAGCAGCAAATCTTGCAGGAGCGGTGCTGGGCTTTGCTCCTGCCCCTCTTCCAAAACAACCTGCAGTTTTTCTCCCCAGACAGTCATGAAGAGGGGGAGATCAGGGCGCAGAGCAGAGGCAGGTAGTCCAGCAGCCATGTAGTGAAAGGATGTGGCCATCCAGGGTGGTGGCCAGGCCACCGTGGTCCCCGATCGGCCAGTTGTTCACCCCGGCACTAATATTGCTCAGCGTGCACTGCCGCTGCGAGGAGAGCTTGTCTCTGGGTCTGCCACAGCTCCTGGAGAGCAAGAGGGAACCTTCACCATGGCCGGGAAGCTGACTTCTCCTGACAGTCAATCTTGTTTCTGTCACCAGGATCTTTTGAGGAAGCTGTGGCTGAGTTTGCGGTGAAGTTTGCCCTCTGTTTCTGGCCTTCGTGTGCATCCTGGCTGTGTCCTGCCTTGACGGCAGGAGGAAATCAGTTGCGTGGGATTTCCCGTGCATCAGGCAGGCAGGAAGGAGCTTCTCTGGTCGCTCTCTGGCTGGGGACAGATGTGGCCAGGCTGGGGACCCTGGGCCTCCAAGCATGGGGTGCATGGCAAGGGGGCTCCGCCCACAAATACCAGCTGTCTTCAGGATTGTGAATTGTGGGGCTGAGGCTTGTTTTGCAGATCAGCAAAGGGAACGAAGATGGGCTGGCTTTTATTCTGAGAGAAATGTATTGTGTGAAAATTATAATGTGACTTGTTTTGTCATTGTCTTTAATGTTTGCCTGGTATGAACATCTCACCTCTTCTCATTGCCTACAAATGTCTGAAGTTGATTGGTTTTTAGATACCGATGCCTTGTTTTAAAGATCTGAATTGTACCTTCAGTTTATCTGCCTTAAAGTGGCTCTGTGCCTTCAAGACAACTCCTGGGCCACCTCTCTGTTAGAGCTGGGGGACATACTGATTCTCCGTCATGTTTTATAAATACATTGTCTTCCTACAAGAGCTCTGTCTGTGTGTTACTCACACCTGCATCACCATGAAGCAGGGATTAGAAACCAGGTGTTTCTCCTCTGGCTTCATATAATCGAAGGTGTAGGCAGTACTAGAGAGACAGGTCACTCTCTGCCCAAGTCAGTGAGAGCTCTGCAGCAAGAGGTGGGTGGGAGAAGCAGCGAGAAAGGTTAGCCAGGAGTGAGACCTGTTTCAGTCTCCTATAGGGCTGTAGAAAGTGGGATGGCAGCAAAACAGTTTTTCTCTTGTCTCCCTGGGTTTATCATGTGAAACAAGGTAGAACGTTAGACAAACACACATCCCAGCAAAGCACAAGTGCGATGTGATCGTAGAGAGAGAATGCGGAGAACGAGGTGGTTCCTCTCACAAGCAGGCGACAATTCCTGGAGAAGGCCACAGGTAAGAGCCTAGACCTGAGCTCGGTACTTGGCACAGCCTACACAAATGGGAGGTCAGCTCTTTCATGGCAACTGCTTATTTAGATTAAATTTTGGCCCCTTTTCACTTCAACTGTGCCTCCTGTGAGTATAAAAACCTTGGCAGGAATAGGAGTTAGACACAGAGAGGTAAAAAGGCAGCCAAGGTTGCTAATGAGTCTGATTGCATTATAATGAGAAATTATTATTAAAGGTGACAGGGGAAATGCATTCCAGCATGCTGCTGGTCTTCTGCTCGCCTGGACTGGGTGATGGGAAACCCTCTCTGCTCGGGCAGGCCTTGTACCTGACTTGGCAGCTCTCTGAGACGATGATGGTGAAGTTAAGATCTGGTAATGAAATTCCCCTCACTGCTTCTTTCCCAGCTGAACCTTTTCTGGTTTTTTCTATCTTTACATTCGCTCATCAATGCTAATTGCTTTGCCTCCTGCTCTGTGAAGCAGTGAGTCACAGGAATTGGGATCTGCACACAGGATGCATAATTTTTTACCTTTTTCATGAACCCAGCTGGCCAGTAGTGGCTGAAAGCCCTTAGCTAGTGGCTTTGCATTGGCTAGAACTAGTTTTGCTGCCTCTACAGTGAAGTCTTTTTCTAGAGAACAGCAGGA